TCAGGTTGATTGGGTAAGTGTAGTATGTAACATATAGCTGATATGAGTTGTTTGGGTAAATGTAGTATATAATGTATAGCAGGTATGGGTTGTTTAGATAAGTATAACATGTAACGTACAGCCAAGCAAATGTGTGCTATATAAAGATGATATGAGTTGGTACACTAAGTAAAGTATAGCTGCCAAGTTTAGGCGATTGTTGAAATAATACTCTCGATCTCGACCAATTCGCTTATGTAATTAGTAAAATGACCGTGACGTACATTCTAATGATTGTTGTGTTTCATGGTAGGTTGACGACTCTCCAGTTACCTTGCCCCACACGCCCTCTGGTGGCCATCACATCATGATTAGCGGTAAATCCGTCCTCTTTATGTCAAGTCATGGCTTCTGGGTGAAATTTGACGGTCATTACCGCCTCGCTATCGGCGTGTCCCACAAATACGAAGGCCTCACGGCGGGGGTTTGCGGGATCTGTGACGGTGATCAGACTAATGATGACCTAAAACCAAACGGGCACCATGCGGAAAATGACAACGATTTCATAAATAGCTGGAATATTGATGGAAGGTAAACTATTACTTACTATGTTCTGTTTTAATACATACATTATACAATATTATTGAACAACGATATGAAGCCCAGTGTACTTCGCTGACTGAGATTCGTAGATTGAAAATCAGTGACGTCATATTGTGTTTTTTTTCTTTCAGATGTGACGGTGCAACGACGGATGAGCCAAGTTGTCCCAGTAACGACGAAGAGATGTATAGTGGACTGGATGCGTGTGGAATCATCACCGACCCTAACGGTCCGTTTGCCGACTGCCACCAAGCGTCCGATCCTGTATTTCCATTCCAGGCGTGCGTGTATGACATGTGTCACGGGAGTACTAATAACGACAAGTATTTGGCGCTGTGCGATAGTCTAAGCAACTATCACGATGTGTGCAACGAAGCTGGTGTTGTCCTTCAATCATTCCGATCAGAAGCTTTTTGTCGTGAGTAGTATAATTATTGTGTTATTGTTGAAGAGAAAAACACAATTACAATGCATAATTTAACAGAATTTGGGAAAATATGAATAAACAAATCTGCATAATATGTGAACAAAATATTTGCGAAAAAATAAATCCTCCAAATTTCAATTCTCTTACGTAATTATTCTCATTACGTAATATTATCACTCTACAATTCGTGTCATTGTCTTTTATATAGCACTGGAATGTCCATCGCATAGCCACTACTCGCCGTGTATGTCACCCTGCCCGGCGACTTGCGCCTCTGCCGGTGACTGCACATACGGGGCAGGTCAATGCGTTGAAGGGTGTGAGTGTGATGTTAATTACGTTCAAGCCGGAAGTAAATGCGTTCATTACACGAACTGCGGATGCGTTGACGAGTATTCAAACTTCCATGCGGTAAGTAACGTTATCTAAAAAATATGTGTTAAGTATTTGAGAATATTATGATTTACACGTCAAATATCGCATTGTATTATCATTGTTATTTGTATCAGGTGTATGTAAAGCGCTTGTATATCATTCGTGATTTTCCTCATCTTGTATCTTGAGGATATTGTTTTTGTTTGTTCCCTTCTCATACTGTGCAATATTGTATTCCGACGAAAACTATGATTATTTATGGCAATATTATGATTATTTAAATGAATCTGTACCTCAGTATATTATACAAATAAACTTGACTGTCATTGTTATACACGGCATTAACATTAAAATACGACAGTCGTCGCGCTGCGCATGTGCGACATTTGTGTTGATAAACATTGATAATGGAAATCACAAGTATGAGGTTTGACCTGTGTGCGACTTACACTAATTATTGACGCCGGTGACTTCTTTGATACCTTCCAATCACCTAAAATATACCTAATTAAAGCTTGGCAACGTCCCAGTTTGTACTGGTTGATCTGCGCAACAGTCAGAGTCGATATCATTGTTTATATGAGACCCATATATCTCGCGCATGCGTGGCGCGACGACTACCGCCCTTTAATTTTCAATTTATTGAAACACACACACACGCGATCGTCCGAAATACTCTACTCGAAGAAAACAAACTTATGATTTATTTATTTGCAGACTGGGGAGACATGGATAAGTTCAAACTGTGAACATAATTGTACATGTAATGGCATGGATGATTTCACGTGTGTGCATCGTGGACCATGTCCTCTACACGCTGAATGTACCGCTATAAAAGGCCATCGACAATGTTCCTGCATACCCGGGTATGACTGGAGCGAGAACAACGAGTGCGTTGGTAAGTAATAAACAACACATGGCGTGGAATGTACAAACATCTCCCGTGCTAGCGTTGTGACTCGGGGGCAGACGGAACCTGTACACCTGTGAATTCATGTTGCCACACGTCCACCAAAATAAACAAATAATTCTCGCAATACTATATTTCCATCATGTATTATTCCCCTTTCAGAATAAAAATATTGCTGTTTCTTATAATGCCAGGAACATGCCCCTTAAGCGGGAATTGTCAGAATTGACGGAAATAAAACATGTCTGAAACATGTCTTTGATATATCCGAAAGTACTACGACATAACATTTTAGTGCGTGAATAATTTAACATGTAACTTCCCTTGTATGATCAGTCAATAACTGACATAAATTATCTCAATACACAGTTATACCACTTTTCCAGTTATACAACGGTTTGCCCCGGGCATATTCTAAGCACAATGCTTACTGAAATAAAAACCCTTTTAATCTTTAAAACAAGTTTCTAGTGTTTTTGCAATGTCAAGTATTTTATTACTAGTATGAAGTAGTGGGTAAAACAGTAGACACTCTATATATTCTGTGTTAATCAGAGGTATTTCCATTCTAGACGTCAATGAATGTCATGCAACTGATCTACAGTACGCCGGGCACTGCTACAGAATAGTAAACACGCCGAAATTCAATTTCGAAGACGCCGAGGTACTCTGCCGGAATGAGGGATACGAGCTTGCAAGTATTTTAACCGCAGCCGAATATGCCTACATACGCCAGACTCTCCAACTGCCCGAATACAATCAGTATGCCTACTGGGTTGGAGCTGATGGACGGGAAAATTCCGTAGTTGATACCATCCAAACAAGTTGGCATTGGACAAATGGTGATTTATGGACTTGGCCATTACAAGATATATTTACAGAAGGGACGCCAGACAACACCAGGGGTGATGAGTTTTGTGGTGCTCTGATGAAAAATGACGAGTATTACATGGATGATAAAAAATGCAGTATCGAACACGGATACATTTGCAAAAAAGGTAAATCTTATGACAAATTTGTACTGTACTATTAATATAAAGGCAGCTCTGAAGACATAGCTAGAATGACAGCCCGACTACGCGCGCGCTTTCAATTACTGATACGTACTGTTATTTAGAAGCGAACCTTTGCTACTGCAAAAACAAATCCATTTCAGTTCGATGAGTAATAAATAATGACTAATCGAAAAAATATATTAATAGATGTGTTTCGCTAAGGACATCGATGAGTTTTCATAGTATGTTTATCATATGTCTATTCCAGTTGGCGATCCACTGTACACACGTTGGGAATACGAACATGCTATATGGAGAGAGAGACAGAATGGTAAGATTCTCTCATAAGTTTTCAAATGAAGTGAAATATGAAAGTCAAATTGTTATATTTAACCTTTGCACGGCATAATTCTTCCAACACTTTGATTTTGAACATTTACATGTATTTTTCTCTCATTTTCTGTAATTGATTGATTGATTGATTGATTAATTGATTGATTGGTTTCACCAGAAAATTATGTATACAATAATTGAGATATATAAAGGGGAATATTAATATACAAGGTAATATGTTCACAATGTGAATAATTCTGGTGTGGACCATGAAAATAGTTCAGCAGAACTAGTCTAGTTCATGGCACTCGGTGATTTACGTTCCAAAACTTTTAATTTATTTTATCACGCACGTGTTTTGTATTTAAAGCGGGAGGGTCGTCACACAAGCTAAAAACGCAAAGACTCATGGGTAGACGTTTGATTGTAAACAATGACATGCTATGGCCATATGACGCATGCGCAAGGGACGACTCCTCCGCTTTAATGATGTAAATTACAAAACTTTAATTTTTTTATTCAGATTGTAAATGTTACGTATTTGGTGACCCGCATTACAAAACCTTTGATGGCAAGAGTATTCACTTCCAAGGCAATTGTACGTACGTTCTGATCATTGACTGGGCGCACACCACCGATCCGTTGTTCATTGTGACTGCCACGAATCAGTACCCTTACGATGGTGCAAAATATTCACAAGTTCAACATATTGTTGTCAGAGCTCATGGATTTAGAGTTGTTATAAAAAGAAGGAAAATTGTGTTGGTAATTATTATAATTTGTTTATTCTATTTATATTAATGCGTTATTGACATCATATTGAATATACCTGTTCTATGAATTGCGCCATCTAGGGACGATTCGAAGGCGAGCACCGGGATTTATATCTCCTACGTAATTTCGTTGTGATAAACTGACAATCGTTAATTTCCTCTTGACATAGGTCGATGACGTCGAGGTGACGCTTCCATATAGTCCCCATCCGGGTATCAACATTTTCTTGAGCGGAAAGTACGTCATGGTCTTGACTGATTTGGGAGTCTGGGTAAAATATGACGGTAACATCCGGGTTACAGCAGGCATTGACAGCGCGCTTGGTAACAGTACCAGAGGCATGTGTGGAATCTGTGACGGCGAGGCGGATAACGATTTCACGAAGCCCGATGGAACGCTAGCTGCCGGCGCACTCAGTTTTGGCAACAGTTGGATGGTGGAAGGAAGGCAAGACCAATACTTTTTACTGTTGTTATTCGAAATCATATTATTTATTTATTTATTTATTTATTTATTTATTTATTTATTTATTTATTTATTTATTTATTTATTTATTTATTTATTTATTTATTTATTTATTTATTTATTTATTTATTTATTTATTTATTTATTTATTTATTTATTTATTTATTTATTTATTTATTTATTTATTTATTTATTGGCGATAATTGACTATAGATCAATTTATTGATTGAATGACTGATTGATTTTATTATTCCATTCTCTCTTTTTTAGTTGTGGCCAAGCACTCACCCACGAGGAACCAATTTGTCCTACGAACAATGCAGCACAGTTCTATACAGAGGATATGTGTGGACGTATCAGCGATCCCATTGGTCACTTTGCAGAGTGCCATGCTATTGTTTCTCCCGTGTTTCAGGAGGTCTCGTGTGTATACGATATGTGCCATGCGTCCGATTTAGACGCCCGCAATAAAGTGCTATGTGATTCCCTGAGTACGTACTATGACATGTGTCGCGAGGAAAACGTTAATTTAGCAACGTTTAGAACTAAGACATTCTGTCGTAAGTATGCATTTAAATTCGTCATCCACACCAGTGTTAGCCACCACCGTGACGACTTTGATAATTCAAGTATATGTTTTGATAACCCTGTGGTACTTCTACCTACAGGAAAAGTAGATAGGAAACCGCCTCCAAGTAGAAACCGTTTTTGAGCCACAGGATAATCCTCCAAGGCTATACTCTGTTTTCAGTAGTCTGCAGCTGCAAAATAATCCTTAAAAACCAACAAAATGATTTAGGTGAAAATAACAAAATAACTTCCTTCATCACTATTTTGATGGTGAAAATGGCTAATACCTCAGAGAACATAACCAAACATGCTTTCATTTTAATCTCGTGTTTGTTGACTTTTACTGAAGATGATAATTTATGAATATAATATAATAATAACAGCCCTACTTTTCATATTATGAAACATTGATGTGTTGACCCTTGACCCCCGACCGGACTCTCCATCGCAAATATCAACACGTATATACTATAACAGATTGCACATTGACTTCATTTCGTTTTGTTTTGAATAGCCCTGGTCTGCCAAACATGGAGTTCATACAACCCGTGCATGTCGCCATGTCCCGCTACGTGCATGTCGCCTGGGGACTGTGAATATGAACAGTGCGTCGAAGGCTGTGAATGCGAAGAGGGATACGTGCTCAGTGGAGAACGCTGCGTACCAAAGTCTGACTGTGGATGTATTGACGAAGATAACATATTCCATGAGGTAAATTGATGGGAGTTTCATGGAATAGTCAGTATGTTCTTTATTGCTGTGGGTCGGGCCAGGACTTAATTAATAACTGCTTGTTTTAATTGGAGGTAACAAGGAACTGTGTCTCGATTAGCGAATTATAATTTTACTACACTACACTACACTACACTACACTACACTACACTACACTACACTACACTACACTACACTACACTACACTACACTACACTACACTACACTACACTACACTACACTACACTACACTACACTACAATGAACTACACTACACTACACTACACTACACTACACTACACTACACTACACTACACTACACTACACTACAATGAACTACACCGCACCACAAATTATCGAAATTATTATTTCCTTTACTTAGTTTTGTGCTAGATTGTCCTTTTAACGTTAATATGGCAGTATACGTTTTCCTTTTTCTCTATGAAGTGTGTGTGTGATTTTATAAATATATTTGTTTTCTGTACTTTCCCCGTGAAATTTGTTTTCCGACATTTTCTCGGTGCATAGTCGTTAATCAAAATCAATCACATTCAAGCTTAACGATTAACTCCTAAACGTGGTCGCTTCTTTACAATATGTTGAATATTTCCTGTTTATTTCTTTACTAGACTAGAGACACATGGGTAACATCTGACTGCAATCGAGAATGTACCTGTACTAATATGGACACCATCGAATGCAAGGATTTGAAAGGATGTCAAGCACATGCCCACTGTGCCGGTCTGGATGGCACGTATACTTGTCAGTGTGACGTTGGTTATATAGACCATGACGGCGTCTGTGAAGGTGAGAAACAATTTATATATATATAT